TCTGAAGGGAGCCGGGGAGCAAAGCCTTGGAGCACGCCTGCAGCGGGACAGCCCAGGCACACCATGGCTGTCCCACTGCAGGTGTGCTTCGAGACTTTGCTCCCCATCTCCCTGGTCTGTTGGTCTGGAGACGGGGAGCAAAGCCGCAGAGCACGCCCGCAGGGGGACAGCTCAAGCGCGCCCGGGCTGTCCCGCTGCGGGCGTGCTCCAAGGCTTTGCTCCCCGTCTCCCTGCAGACCAGGGAGATGGGGAGCAGCTTTTCTCGCCCCGGAGGACGAGGGCGGCAGACCATGGTGCATCTGGGCGTCCCGCCGCTCCCGTCCTCCGGGGCGAGAAAAGGCCCGTTCGTAACTGCGGATCTGACATAAGTCTGATCCGCGTAACTCAGGGACTGCCTGTATGTGCATGGCCCAGGCACTGTCATCCCCTGTACCCTCCCCCCCACATTCACTGCCTCTTGCACACTCAGGGCCACACGAGATACAGGCACAAATGCACAAAGGCGAGTAAACAGACATTGTGACAAAAACAAAACAAACACACTTGCACAAGATACAAGAACAAACGGAGACCCTCATAACACAAAAACACACCAAGCAAAGTGACACACGAGATAGGGGCACAAAGACACAGTCATGTAAACAGTGACCTACACACCATGGAAACATATATATACAAAGGTACACACCCCTGCAGACCAGCATATTTGTACCCTTTCTTCCTGTTGTCGGGGTCTCGAACCCGGACGGCCTCTGTTCGTTGTCTGACCGCAAAGAGACAGGCAACACCAGCAAGATCCAATCACAAGCTCTTTATTGAATAGTGCGCACTTACAATAGAGAGCGGCCCGTCTCCAAAGAGAACCAGCCCCGATTTCATTAACAGGCAGGCTTATATAGACAGTTCCATCATGTCATAGACTATTTGCCCAAGCAACCCACCCCTTTATCAGTTAGAAACTTTTAGTATCCATGCACACCTGGCCAACTATACATCATGGCCTTAAGCAATTCAGAATGCATCAGCAATTTCTTATCAGCCCAAAAGATAGGTACTGGGCAACAAGGAGACAGTTTGTTATGGCCAAAGGAGAACATAAACAGGGAATTTGGAACAAACAGGGGGAAAGCAGAAACAGGGAGTCTCCTTATCAGTTCTCAAAACAAACTGTTCCTTATCGTAGCAGGTACAAAAATGCAGCTTTTTACTTATTTCAGTTTGCAACTTGAGCAAGCCTGTAGGGTGCGTCCCTGCTTGAACCTATCTCCAGTTCTGCCCAGGGACTACCCAGAAATCTTTGTTACATTTGCTTTAGCATAACTGCACTAGGCCTAATTTTCTAGGGCCTAACACTGTGCAGTCACACACACCCTGCAGGCCTCTTTTCGCTCACACATGACTTGCACGCCCACACACACCGCTTTGCACACTCGCGCCACCTTGCACACTCACACGTGCCTTGCACAGCTGCACACACAATATACGCCCCTATTCACCCCTCCCCCGACGTGATAGCTCGGTTTTGGCTGACTGGCCCGGCGGTGCCGGGAAATTCCCCCAGATTAAGTAACC